TTATGGCTTTAGGAGCAAGCTGGCTCGAATGATACCAATTACTTATTGCGCATTGAAGTTTGGTATGTTAGAGAAGAGGGGTATACATATTATAATAATGAAGTGGTTGTTAGAGTTGTTAAAACAGTTGATTAAACTGTGCAACTCAACCATTTTGTTCCTCCTTAAGAATATGTTTGGTAAGGTGGAGTTATTTTCAGACAAGTGGAAAAAGGGAGTGGCAAAGAGAGCTATGCTTGTAGGGGAATTAAAGCCAATTTTAAGCTACAAATGTGTTTGGTAGATAGCAAGAAATTATAAAGTGTTAGCTTATTATTTTGATTATGCTCCTGCTGATCCTAAATGTAAGAGTTAGATAATTAATTTGTTAATATTAAGAAAATAAATTAAATTAGTTCTTTGTAAGAAATTTGTATTGATTTTTTTAAAATATCCTTTTTAATAATCTACAATGGATACTAATCCCCGGATGAAGATTTTCGTTAATACACGCAATTAATAGGAAAAGTTAAGGAAAAAAGGAATTAACACTATTGTTAATATATGAACAAAATAATGATCTTCAACGTTTGAATTCATGCTTTGAATTCTTATGTTTAGCAAGCGCAACTCTTTTCTAGCTATATGCAATATATTTCATGTTGAAAACTTTTTACACATAGTTGAGGATAGGATATAAGTAGTTGAAGAAGAGTTATGCCTATTGAGAATGATTGCACCAAGTTCTTTCGGCTAAAAACAATTTTGCCAAATGAGGACTTTCCTTAGTTTCCCTTAAAAAAGGAGAAATTGGAGTCATTATTTTTTATCTATACTTCTAAGAGGTTTTAATTCTAGTCTTTATATTTTTAATGAGTTTTTATTTTAGTCTTTATATTTTAAAGATTTTTTATTTTGTTCTTCACATACGTAAATCCAAATCCTTATAAAATTATAAAGACTAACATTTTGGATGGGAAAAACTATAGGGACAAAAACCAAAGACTTGAAAGTTGAAACTGTAGAGACTAAGACAAAAATTCCATCAAGTTGTAAGCAATAACAAAAATATTATATTTAAATCCAAAACAAACTTTTTTTACTAATACTTTCATCTAAGAACATATGCCAAACAAAGTGGGTATGAATGACCTAGGCGCTATAATGGTACCAATAATCTCACCATAACAACAAGAATGTGTGTATGTGTTAAAAGCGTCATAAATACAATAGACTCTTTCATAATCCTTTAAAAGATCTCAAGTAGTAATGATTTTCCTATGTGAAATCAGATCCTCTCTAAATGATGCTCGCATCGCTTATGTACTACGATTTTTTTAATTATTTAAATAAATAATTAAACACGATTCACTTTTAGTTTTCATGAGTCATGATGAGCTTATTGATTTTTAAGAGTATTTTTTTTTTGTGGTTCTTATATTACTTTCATTATTCATCACCTAATTATCTGAAAAAAAAAGAGCCAATAATTGAAGCTGTCTTAACTTACGTGCCTATCCACATTCCACACCGATCGAGTAGGTTTCAAGGCAGTCCCGCAAATCAAATCCAAACACCACCATCAATTTTTCTTTCTACCCAAGTCAGCCTATTTTAGTACTAATTCTTCTTTCATATGTACACACTTCATTAAGAAAAAATATTGAATGGTTGAGATTCAATATTTTATAAATTCAATTTAGTTTTCAATTTTTTGTAGTCTACAGTGTTAGTTTGTTTAGATTAAATTTTGTTTATTTATTTTTATGTAACATTATAATTGTAATTTTATAAATTATTAAACCTAACCATTCATTTGATAATCTAGTGATGGGCATGGATGAGGAGGGAAAAAAAAGGAGGAAAAAAGACGAGGAAAGAATCCAAATTCAAGAAACACTAAGAAATAATAATTATGATTTGATTTATTGATTATCAAGTGGACACTTGGGAAGAGTTTTTTAGGAAATAAAAATAAAGACTTGAGAAAAAAAATTCAATTTGTGACACACTTAATAAGAAAAAATTAAATCAAACAACTTTTATACTAAGGGTGAGGCGGGTAATTTTGACTTGCTCTTTCCAATCTTGATTATAGGACAAAATTGCAAATTTCATATTTTCCCCAGATCTTGCCCCCCTTTTATTTATTGCTGCTCTTATTATATTTAATAAAGTTGGCATGCTTTTAATTTCAATATAAATTATTCTCTCTTATTTTTTATTCCATCCAAACAAAAAATAAGAGTTTCAAATAATTTTTTAGGATTACGTTGGTCGTTATAATTTGATCTAATTTTAGTTTTAGTCCTTGTAGTTTCAAATCATTAATTTTGATTTCTACGTTTTCATAAGGACTTAATCTGAATTTAAGGATAAAGACCAAAATCAAAACCTATTAAAAAATAAACTTAGACAAAAAAATTATAAACCTATAGAAATCAAAAACCAATAGTTTAAAATTCCAGGGATTAAAACTAAAAATTTAATCAAATGATGAGAACTAATAATGATATTGACTCCTTTTTTGTTTGATTATAAAACAAATTGGCTCATACATGATAACACAACATGCAAGACATGAGCAGCTATACAACAATAGGTGGAAACCATCTTTGCTTAGGTTTACAACACTTCACATATTGTCTGCAACTCTCTAGGCAGTTCCTGATAATTCTTTTATATATGCGCGTGTGTAATATTATGCAAGTTTGTGGGGGCAATAACTCCCACAAGATTTTTTAAATTTTTTTCCTTCATACAAATAATATAATTTCTAATTATACTTGACTTTGGCTTTCATATTTAGACATATTTATTGTCTACTTTATAGTTATCTTGTGCTCTAGCTAATTATCACTCAACCTTGCTTTAAAGAGAACAAAGAACATTTTGATTAATAACACAATAATCGCAATGGATACAATGAACTCTTCTAAGGGTTGAGATTACACATGATATAAGGACCTATTATGAACCTCCCCTTTTGATGTGGACTATGATCATCCATCACACTCAAAGCCACACAAGACCTCAAATCAACTACACCGTCCGTTCAAAATATTACTTCCGGTATTTAATATTCCTCTAATTCTAAATATAAGACCTATTTTGTAATGTAATTTGCATTACAAAATGGGTTTTATATTTAGGATTTAGGAGCAGAGGAGTATAAGATTTATCTAATTAATTTATGAAAATAAAAAAATCTAAATAAATCACTTAATTATATCATATATTACATTATCTCTTTGAAATACTTATGTGCATCATTAGATTATATATCAATTTATAAGTTAGATAAATTAGTTTGGAAAAAAAGATAAATATAAATACTTTAAAGAGAATTGTAATGAGGTACCAAAGAAAGATAATAATTATTATTAAGTCCAAATAACAAAAGAACATTTGTCATTTACTGCCTTAAAACTTGTTATTGTAAGCTGCTTTGTTATCACTAAGATTTTTTAGTAAGTATGTTCCTTACTTGAAACTTCACAGCAATTCCTTCAATAGTTTAAGCTAATTTATTTGGTTTTTCTAATGTTCTCAAATTAGTCATTTAAATATTATATTAAGGACAAGAGGTAGCGTAACATCTAATTAACTTATTTGTACAAATTAAGAAGATTAGTCAAATTAACTATTTATAAAAAAAGTGTTAATTTTTCTAAATTCTTCATATAATTATTTCCATTAGAAACTACTTCTTGATTAATATTGTTTAATATGTGTAAGAAGATTTTGGAAAAAGAATAATAAATTTGGAAGATATGGTAAATTAATATCCTATAATTAAGACTAGAAAACCTCGTCTCCTGGCTCTTATATTTGAAAGGTGAGTAGCATGTTTTTTTATGGTATCAAAGATGGGCTTAGCTAGCTTGACGTAGGCCCAATTTTGACAAGTTTGTGAGGCTTCGATTCTATGGTTTCTTTAATTTCTTAACATAAAAGTTAATATTATTATTCTTTGTTTTTTCTCTAATCAAGGAGATCTCAACTCTTAACTCTATTCTAATCCGACTTAACCACCATTAGGTATAGACTTCATAATCATATGATCCTATGATGAGTCAGATACACGTAACTTTATTTTATTTTATTTTAATTCTTTTCCCCGAAGACAGACAAACGGGTTTGCTTTTGTTTTTTGCGCCTTAAAAAATAAGAGTCAACTCCCGAAACAAACCAATAAAGATCTTACACGTGTCTCACCGTATTATTGAGCAACGCGAATCCAGCCTGTTCTTGCTTAGGAAGCACCTTCTCTGGATTTCTCTCATCATTAGTTGTCAAAATTTTTTTTTTTAAAAAAACGAAACTGTGAAATTATTTGTTTTATTATTTTAACGGTGAATGTTAGGTTCGCTTTAACAGTAACGAGTAAAATTGTTACGCTTTTAAATTTCTAAAATAAATTTGCAGTCACAAAATCTTTTAAGTGTCAAGCGTTTTCAAGATAATCTTGCAACTTAGTACTTAAAAGTTTTCTTATGTATATTATATCTAGTATGCTAATATTATTCTCAAATCACCTTTAATATCATAATCTTATTTATAGTTTATTGTATTGGATGCATAATATTAAAATGCTAAATACATCATAAATAAGATTAAAATATTAAAAAATAATACAAAGATATTGAATACTATTTTACTTTTGATATTTTACCAAAAAATTATGATATTTTAGGATTTGGAAGGTGGTTATACAGCTTTGAGCCTTCTGCTTTCGCACTTTCTGTTCCCTCATGAATGTGATGCGCAGAAGATTTTACATTAGGACGGATGTATGCTTCTCCCCAGAAATTTCTGTTAACGCAAAGCCAGTCTGTTCATGCTTAAAAGTCGATCACTTCTCTCTGACGTGGCTCCCGTCTCTGCCGTCCATCTTCCGCCCACAATTCACAGCCACGTGTATGTCGCCGACAATAACAAAAAAGAAAAAGGAAAAATAAAAAAAGCTCACCAGTTTACTTACAGCCGTCGCGGAACCACATTCCATTCTGACAAGACGCCTTCCTTCCAATTTCCTTCTCTTTCTGGCATTCCAATCAGACTCCACTATCAAACCCTCACTTTTGATTTTCAACTATTCAGTTTTATCGAGAGCTTCATTGGCTTTGGCGGCGTTACTTTGGATGAATCGAGCAATGGAGGTACCAAGAAGTGTGGCTCTATTGGTTCTTCTTGCTCTGGTATCGGTGGTTGCGAATGCGGACGAGTCTAATACGAAGCCTCTGGTGAAATATCACAAGGGGAAGAAGCTCTGTGACAAAGGGTGGGAATGTAAGGGATGGTCCATTTATTGTTGTAATCTGACGATCACTGATTACTTCCAGACCTATCAGTTTGAGAATCTCTTTGCTAAGCGGAATTCGCCTGTGGCTCACGCTGTTGGTTTCTGGGACTATCATTCTTTCATTACTGCTGCTTCTGTTTACGAGCCTTTGGGATTTGGTACCACCGGAAACAAGACCACGCAAATGAAGGAGATTGCCGCGTTCCTGGGTCATGTTGGCAGCAAAACCTCCTGTGAGTGTCGATCTTTGGTCCTTTTTTCTGTCTTTATTTGGATTTCTATTTTGTCATAATTTGCTTGTGTTGTGCTTGTGTGTTGGCTTTTTTTTTTTTTTTTCGGTGATTTGGTGTGGACTTCTGTTTGGTTTGAGAAACTGTTCGAAAGGGGGAAAACATTGGTAGTCTGGCTTTTGTTTCTGTGATGTCAAGGAGAGCACTGAAATCTGCTCCCAGATGAGGGATTTTCAGTGCAATTGGCAGAAATTTTTTTAGTTTGGAACGACTTAAATGAGCCTTGACTGTACATTTTTTGGTTAAAAGATGATCACATTGGTTAGCGTTGTGTATTGGAGGAGGTTCCAATCCTCGATGTGAAGATAAATGGGATCATTGGGGTAAACTAAATGATTTTTTTATTTTCTTTTTGTATTTTTATACTTAGATTGTTTATGTAGATATGTAGAGTTGATGCTTTTGTGGTCTATTCTCATATGGGTCCTTTTCTTCGCGACTAAACTAAAATGTGGGAATACTGAATTTCAATATATCTATCTCTGCTTAACATTTCCGTCTACATCTCATTGTTAGAGACCAATGAGGTAAAATCATTCCTTGAATTCACCCAAGAAAATAAAAAGAAGAAATTTATTCGTTGCAATGTTTGTTGAGATTTGAACTATTGTTTTTATATGTATCTGTTTTGCCCTTCTGTATTTTCAGTTCTCGTGGCTAGAGTAGAATTTCATGTCCCCCATTTCTTGTAATATTTATTTCCTTGTCATGAAATTAATTTTACCAAAAACATATCCCAGGTGGTTATGGAGTGGCCACTGGAGGACCTTTTGCCTGGGGTCTTTGTTACAATCATGAAATGAGTCCAAGTCAGTCATACTGTGATGACTACTTCAAATACACCTATCCCTGTGCTCCTGGTGCCCAATACTATGGCCGTGGTGCAATTCCCCTTTACTGGTATGTCTTAGCCCCTAGAAGTAGAATAACCTTTTTCTCATTCTTGATTATGCCTGATGTACTATTCACTCTTTGTTTAGTTGTGTGATGGTAGATGACCATACTTAAGAGCTGTATTAGGTAAGGAATGGTGCTTTTATGTGTTCTGGGCAGCATGAGCCGAATGAGGAGGCTGCTAGAGGGGTTTTCTAGAATGAATTGGTTAGGCCGCAATGGGTAAATAGGGGGCTAATAGAGAGGGAGGAGAATTCTAGAGTGAGAAGAGATTGGAGTTATGTTGCTTATTTCTGCTTTTTTCTATGATAATTTCGTATGGAGACTTGGGTTCCTGCACTTTAATGAACTTAGGGATGCCATCCGTGTTTTCATTCCATCTATGTTATTTCCTAATTGACTTTAATGAACTTTCATGATAGTCTTGTGAAGCTAATATCAGGGTTAATTTCCTAATTGACTCAGGGAACTTCAAAAACAAATCTGAATGTAACTCAGATGTGAATAGGTTATTATTTCTAATTACTGATGGTTAAATTATGAATTAACCTATTTGGATAATTACATTTTCCATATCTATGAGTAGTGACTAGGACCAAGGAGAACTAGGTGAACCATGAGACCATTTTCTAGGTCATGGAATTGCTGCCTGTATTTACAAAAATCCTTTACCATTTTATGGTTATTATTGATTCGAATCCTTTCAGGGGGTTTCATCTATTGAGCTTTTAGGATTACTTCAATGTGCATGTATACGTAGCTATGATGGCATATTGAAACACGCAGATATCATTTTCCTTGTTGAATGTTGTTGTGCTTTCATGTTGGTCCCGTACAGGAACTACAACTATGGTGAAACTGGAGAAGCATTGAAGACAGATTTACTGAACCATCCAGAATATTTAGAGCAGAATGCAACTCTTGCCTTCCAGGCCGCAATCTGGAGGTGGATGACCCCAATTAAAAAGAAGCAACCCTCGGCACATGATGTAATCGTTGGGAGCTGGAAGCCGACCAAGAACGACACTTTGGAGAAGCGGATTCCTGGGTTTGGCACTACAATGAACATTCTCTACGGTGATTCTGTTTGTGGAAAAGGCGAAATTGACTCAATGAACAACATCATCTCGCATTACCTATATTATCTTGACCTCCTAGGTGTTGGTCGAGAGGACGCAGGGCCTAATGATGTGCTAACGTGTGCTGAGCAAGTTGCTTTCAATCCATCTTCTTCAGCTTCTTCTTGAACTTCGTGGTACGAATCAAAGGGCATATGTCGAGAGTGCCTCTTCGGAAGTGGGTGATGATCGAGAGTTTTTGCAAGGTACCTTCTAGAAATAATAATTCTTTGTTGCATTTATTGTGTGGGTATTGTCATGTAAAAAGCAGAGTATTTAACAGAAAATCTAGATATGCTAGATATTAAGTTATGGACCTATTATGTGTTGTCATCTATATACCCTTTTATTTACAATAATGTAATAATAATTTTGAGATAACTAGTTGTTGTCCCTTGTCAAATCTGGTGACACATGCGATTACAAGGGACTAGGTAATTTTCACCTTGTATTTGACAATTAAAATTTAGAAATGCTACTCACCTGTATAATGGGACTAGAAACCACAAGAACGTAATTTTTAATAATATATACAAAGATAGGATTCAAAAGCTCATGAAATAAGTGTCATTCCTATCATTTCATGTGAATTGTTAATTTACAAGTAATTGCAATTTTAGGTTGGGTTTAAACTGCCCATTTTGTCTTCCAATTTTAATATTTATTTTAAAAATAGAAATACAATTTAGATAATTTATCAACTGTTAATTTACAAGTAATTGCAATTTCAAAGAAAAATGAAATTTCAAGATTTGAATATTGAGTATTGCTAAACCCATAAAGAAAATCGACCAAACGAATTTTAATTTAGACATTATTGTTGAATAATGGTTAATTCATTACTTGTCGGATCGAAATATGAAAGGGCGACTCTAATTAGCATAGCCACCCAATAGCAAGTTGGCTGGTTGGACGTGCGCATTACCAACTCTTCGTGACATCATAGTAGTGATTAAAGAACTAAACCGCATTGAATACTCATATGACCACACTTTTTAATGACTTGGTTTAAACTGAACAGTCAATTTTGTAATTAATCCATATTGGATCGAAGTTGAGCCAATCATTGAGCTGGAACCTAAAGTTAGGTCAGGAACGAAACAGTTATTTAAAAATTTCTTGCCTTGATGAAAAAATCTGGAAAAAAAATCAATCCTTTTGAAAAATTCAACATATCAAAGTTTTCGTCACCATAATGTTGTTTAATTAAAAAATACATGCAATGTTAGGGAAAATCCATATTAAATCCAGTTTAAATATCAAAATCCAAATTAAGATTTACACTTTTAACAAATTCTTAATTAGATCGAGAGGCCTTGTTAGAAATTTTAAATGTTAAAAGACTAAAATCCCTTTTTTGTGGCGACTAAAATGTCCCTTTAAGTTGGCAAGTTGGTGATTGTTCCAATCAATTTATGATCTTTTTTTTTTTGGGTCTTGAGACCAGAACAAATGATCCATTTGGCTTCACACTCTCTTGCTTGTGTGTTGAATTACTATATTATCAAATTTTCAGTGAATTTCCGATAGATTGAGAGGTAATTTCGCAATTTTCATATAATTTATCCTTGATTTGCCCACTCCCACTATACTGATTAATGGCACACAGAGTGCCAAATTTATTATAAATTCTGTAGCCTTGGCTTCTGGGGTAATAATGTTAGTGACATTCATCATCTCGTGCTTCCTCTAGTCAACACAGTGCTGCAAGTGAGCTCACATGTTGTGAAATTTTTGAGAACATCTGATGTGGAAAAAAAAATCGAATTAACGCAATGTACAGGATGCTTGACTTCATTTATTTTATAAATTCTCCTTTAAGAAATTATTAATTTAATGGTGTTAGAATCAAATAATTAAAAAAGTCCTGTTCCCATAAATTTCCTATCAATATATTAAACTTAGAATAAAATATTATATTATGCATTGTGAATTTTTCGCTCCATATTTCCAAACTTTCCCCTGCAAAACATTTTTTACAAATAAATACCATATAATGTCAATTTTTCATTGTTTAACCTTTTCTTGTCACTATAATATTATTTTAAAATATAAAAAGGCATTTTAACCTTTTAATAACATTCAAAAATTTCTCATTAGGAATTTGTAGTAAGATTCTCCCAGTGTGATCATATTAACCATTAGACTCATGAATTTATTTCTTATGTATATATTGTCATACATGCGGATGATTATTTTAAAACTTTGCACCGTACCTCGCACAAAAAACAAAACTTGGCATGAAATCACATCCGTCACCATCAAAAATGCTGATTTCATGACTTCATCCCAAATAATTCAATATAAAGAATGAGAATAAAATTTTACAACCTCCAATAAGGAAGGCTCTCCAAAACCGAAAACCAAACCAATCACCTCAATTCTCCGACTCTGCTCTCATCCCAAAGGAAAGTTACAAAACCTTTTTTTTCTCAAGCCAAAACTGTGTATAAAAGAACAGCTAATACTAAACCCTCACCAAAACTTTACCAATACATGCATTGGCAACCCCGCATTGCCCATCTATGTGACGGGCTTTAAATATTACAGACTTTTATCCCCTTCTGCTCTCATCCAAGAACAGACTAGGGCTTATAAATATATTATCAACCCAAAATTTGGAGACATGAAAAAGGCTAAAAGGTATACCCAACGTGGTAGGAACAAGAAGACAATGCAGAATAGCAGGTATAGGCACTTTCACAAAGGATTCAACTAAGACTTGAGAGGAAGTGATAATCGGCAGTTCCCAAAATTCAAGATCGTCTGATTTCGGCAGTGAGAACTTCTCTGTGAACATTGAAATAGCAAGCAGACTTTCTCAGGGCACATAGAGCGCTGCTAGTGACCAATGCCTCTACTTTGTGTAACCGACACCGGACCAAATGAATAGAGTAAGCCAAGAGCCAAAAACTTCAGAAGCAAACGAATCCCTAAGAATGTACAACCAAGACCTTAAGAAGCTGTGGCAGCTGTGGCCGCTGAAGCCTTCTCTAATTTTTCCTTTTCAATCTCTGCCCTTCTCAGTTCAGCATGCTGGGCAACACCATGAGCAAGAGCTTGAAAATGGAAGTCAAGAGCCTGGGTGAGCTTCTGGAACCGTAATGGGTCTGATGATTGCATCACTACAGGAAGATTTCATGTTGTTCAGGGGCATTTCAGACAAAACAAAAATGATAAACATTATGCCAATAATGAAGTAGCCATGTTTAGGGGCGGTGTCTGCTTTACCTTTGATAGCATCCACGAAAAACACAAAAGGATCCACCTCATCAATTGGGGACTGCAATTCTTCATCATCTGTCCAGTCATCATCTGAGTCATCGTCATCCTCATCATCAGGCCGGAATGCCTTCACCTATGAACCCATAAACACAAGAAATTACAAGATTAAGATTTAACAATAGAGAACGAACGTAGAATAATCAGGACGGAGGTATCATACTTTAAATATCCAATTACAACTCTCAGCCCACTGGTTGGGGTCAGCTACACTTGAAATTTTAAAATTCAAATGCATAATTTAGTTAGTACACTACAGCTGACTTAGTCGATCCTGACTGTTCAGAAACAAATAAAACAACTTCAAGAGGGCGATGTCTGGAAAAATCATGAAAACACAGATTTCCTAGGTTAGAGGCTCATGCATAAATACCTACATCGTATAAAGCCTTATTGCATGCAAACACTTCCTAGATTCGATTAGTTTTTTGAGGCATCATATCAACATACCTTTTCAGCCAACTTTCTAAATTTATTGCTGTCAGCTTCATCGCCATCCTCAGCATCAACTCCCATTTCCCTGTCAGATTCATTTTCATCCTCATCTGCATCATCTGTTTGAAAACCATCCATATCATCATCGTCTTCAGCTTCTTCCTCCTTTGCAGCTTCTGCAAAATACGTGCAATATATACTACAAGAATTAGGCAGCTAAGAATCAGATTGAAGAGATTACAGTAAAAATGACCGATAAAGAGAATAAAATAGGTTTATATATTCTTGGTGAATATGATTGATGAGAATGAAACATCTCTAAAACAAAGAAATGAAAGGAATAGAAACCTGCAACTTGATCTTTGTATGCAACTAGAAGATCAAGCGTGGCTCGGAACACCCGATCCAAAGCATCTTCCGGCAATTGATCAGATGGAAGTGCCAGTAATGACGTCAAACCAAGACAGCAAACTTTCTTGTCATGTTCCCTGCAAAGAGATTGTCACAACTTACAATGGTACACTAAAACCTGAGTCTCGTGTGAAGACTAACGTTACTAGATGAAAGCACAATACAAGGAAACTAGAAATTAGTGAAAGCGGGAAGTGCAGGAGCACATCTTTGATGCACTTTGAATTTTTTTTTTTTTTTTGGGGTGAGTGTGTTCATTATTTTTAAACCCTGCAGATGTCTTTATTCCCCTTCTGTAACTTTCTTCGCAGGAAAAAAAAAAATCAATAAAAGATTAAAAAAAAAATACCTTTTAAAATTAGCACGTATACCACTCTTCTTGACTTGCTGCAGCATATGGAACCATAGATTGAAGATTTCTAATGCAACACCTAGCTTTTGCAATATGCCAAGAGTCAATGCTGGATTGTAGTAAAGAGCATCTGCGATCTGCATAAATATTTAGTGCAATATGAGGAACATGGCAAACTTCAAATTGATGAAGTAAACAGCATATGGTAGTAGTCAGTCAGAATTTTTCAATCTATGTTCATTCCAAAGGGTAATGTGCGTCAATTAGAGCCCTGACGGAACTGCAACCTGAATGAACTAAAGGAACTAAGAATATAAAGAAAACCAAAATAATGATAACCCTCTATCACACCATTCATAATCCTTACAATTAAATAACAGTAGAATTTGACAGACAAAAAATTGGTTCAGACCATGCTAACTCGTTTATTTGGCCTGCAATTCCAAGTTAGCAGACATCTGAAAGCTTAGTTAACAAGCTCCAGATACAAGGGCTGCAAAGTAATTAACAGCGTAAATGGACCAAAAGGAAGCCAATGAGCTTGTCAAACTCAACAAAATAACCTAGGAAGCAATAGAAGCCAATTTTCTGCTCTTGTTCATTCATACATGCTATACTGATTCTAATAACACCTTACCACTTGCATGAGAAGACATTTCAAATATGATTTTTCAGTTCTGTGCAATCGTTCAACTGTTATTCTGAGATATGGCTCAACCCAGTGATCCACCTGTCCTCTACAATTCTGAAATAGAACTTCAATAAGCTTTGGAGCTGGCTCAATGTCACTGTCCTCCAAATTTTTGTCTGCCATAATCTACAATGTGAAATACAGAGACAAAGACATTGATAAGAAGTTGTAGACGTTAACAGTGGTTTTTAATCCCTGCGCTCTGACCTA